AAAAGGAGATTTTGATAAATCAAGAGTTTTTGATTTGAGAGGTGTTTTTGAGGTTCTCCACACTTCACTTCACGCTCCAAAAGATAGGATTTTCATCCTAACTAAGTTTATTTCCAACCTATGATGAATATATGAAATTAGTGGGCTTTTTGTGTATTATAACACTTGTCTATTATAGTTGGTTTAATGAAAATGAGTACGATCAATTCTAGTGTGAATTGGTAATTAAAAATTGCTAGTTTGTGATTTCTTAGAAGTTTTGATAATTGGGTATGTGAAAATCATTTTTTCTGATTTTTTTTAAGTTATGTGATAAATTTGGGCATTTTATGTCATTACATAATTTGGTGCCTTGAAAGTGTTTGATAAAATGTCTAGGTGAAATAAAGTGTGTTAATTGTATTAGATTATGTGATATCATGCTTGGATGATGTGGTAAAGTAAAATCATATGCTTATGATATGAATTACAATTGAAAATGCAAATGTTGATATGTGCTTATGATATATTGGCATTTAGGGTGAATTATGAAAACTAATTGCTTAGGATGTAATTATCCCTGACATGTGTTGAAATGTGGTAGAAATAATTCATATGACATTTATTGCATATGGATATGATATTGCTATTGCAATTGCTCATTATATTGCATATGCACGGAGACATCACATTCATAGGCATGAGGCATGAGTGTGGGTGTGTGTGCTTGTTGTTAGGTCAAACACCATCCTTGGTGGTTGACAAGTGAACTCGGTACAGTTGGACCAAAACTCAACAGAGTCGTATGGGTAGTATGGAAAACTTGTGCCGGATATAGCAAGAAGGGCTAGATTCTCTCTCGAGTGTAAGACCCGGCTACTGGTTTATACACTTCCAACAGTACAAGTCCAAAAAAGTGTAATGGTGTACAGAACCAGCGGTGTGATTCCAAAATCTGATACCTAACAAAGACACATGATTTTGTTTTACAAATGGTCATTTGATGTGTATCATCCAACAAAATTTGATTTTATAAACACATGACCTTTATTTCAAAATAATCATTGGATGAAATTCATCAATGATAGATTTGCCACACATTAGCATTGTATTGTGTTGCGGGAGTCGGTGAGGACTCGGGATATGGTGCATGAGTGAGTATCATCTCATATCATGATATGACATGGTAGAAATTTCCATCTTGAATGACATGTTCTTGTATGGAATGAATTATGCTTGTTGAATGTTGCATGTTACATTTCATATGTATCTAGGTTGGGAAGTAGCCTATTTAGGAGTAACCCCATTGAACGTGGCTCACCTTATACGGGAAAACGTTTTAGGTGCGGAATACATTCCGGCGGATGGCTCGCATTCGGGGCCCCAGTAACGAGGAAAGGCCAACTTGTGGACTTGAATTCATTTTTATAAATGTATAAATTTGGTGAAAAGTATAGTTCGGGCTTGTAATCATATGTAATTAATTGTAATAGACCTTGTATATATTAGTTTTTATGTGAAAAACCTTATTAAACATGTTTTGGATGGTGTTGGAATGGATTAGGAAATGAAAAACAGGTGAAACAGACATTTCTGGACAAAACCTACTTGTAGAACTAGTACGAATAGGTGTTGTCCAAAGGGCAATACCTACCAGTAGAATTTTTGCAGTAAGTAAAACTTACCGGTAGTTTGTTAAAATTTACCAGTAGAACTTTTCCAGTGAACAAAACCTACCGGTAGATCCATAAAAATCTATCGGTAACTTTATCAAAAATTTGAAATAGCCATGCTTTTGGGCTATGTGTTCTTTGGTTCCAATGATATAAATGAACATCAAATGAGTATAAATTGTAGCATATTGGACCTTGATTGAGCCAAATGGTAAAACATACATTAGTTAAACATGTGGGTTATAATCTTGGTTAAGCGGATGTGATGGACGTGATGTCAAGTTATGTGACAATTACGGATATTTCTGCGAGTTGACGGAGTGGTCAACAAATGAAAAAGGACCCCGATTTGAAGGGCGTCACATTTATACTTGAGACACTAATTTAAATATAATGGTAGTTCAAAAAATAAGACAACAAACACCTACATCATGTTCTTTCATAACATGTATGATGTTAATTAAAACTAACAAAATTTATATATTTGATTTTACTATTCTGATATAGAATATTATTCGGTTGTAACTCAATTAGCTAGCTATCGTGTTGATAACGTATCATAAAACTAGTAAATTAATTCAGGGACAAACAACTAATTTAAAAGCTAATGGAAGAATACTAAGAATATTAAGAGAGAGGGGGGGGGGAAGATTTTTCGACTGTATATCTATTTTTTGAGTAATGTTATTGGGATAAAATTTAAGGACATAATTTGGAGATTTAATGATTGTAACCATTAAATTTTCAGTAGATTCCAACATTAAATTATCATTGAATCTCAACACAATCAAGCAAACGGTCATAATACATTAAGTTCTCAAACTATATCTCTAAATTATGTCTCATTAGTATTGGTGCTATTTTTTGTGTAGTTTCATTCCGCGGAAGCCCGCTGCTTTATTGGCAGAGATACATATTGATCCGACAAGAGGAAAGTCAGAAGCTGCTAGTCAGGCAAGTGTCTTTAGGAGAGTGGGCCATCCTTCATGTGCAGATGCACATTGTTTTTCAACACAAACATATATTTTAAAAAAATTGCTATGGAAATATTTCCTATGCCATGATAAGAACTTTTAAGGTGGAACTATATTATCAGACAAAATTTTTGTTGGAAATACTAAAGAATCACATGCGAACAATTTCCTGGTAAATGAATTTATTTTTCGCAAAAAAACTTCGTTGGCAATACTATTGGATTACCCTCGAAATGTTTCCCTAAAAATAATCTTATTTAGTTAGTAAATATACTTACTTCCCGCGAAAAGTTTCACTGAAAATAATAAAACTTCGCTGGCACTAGTATTTTCCTGAGAAATTTATACTTTTACTAGCAAAAATTTTCTCTGCCAAAAGCATTTTTTATTGTAGCCCAAATTTCATTGCTTGTGCATTGCATGGATTATCTTTAGTTGATTACATGCTACTGTATCTTAGCCTCTTGGAATTTTTTTTTTTTTGGAAGGGGGAAGGGAAAGAGGGAGGGAGACTTAAACCCTTGACTTCAAGAAGGCAAAATCTTTATAAGATAAGGAGTACTATTAGACCAAAGATTCATTGGTTAGCCTCTTGAAAAGTAAGAGAGGTAGTTACCTAATTATTTGAATCATTATTTTTTTTTTTTGGTTTCTTTTTTTTGCTGATTTTAAAAATATAATTTGGTGTCAATATGATAAGAACCCATCCAACTGAATTATATCTACCCTACTTTCTTAGCTATGCTCCACGTCCTAGTTTATCATTTGATGACTTAAAAGTCCAAAATATTAAAACGAAAAAATAACAAGAAAAAATTGTTAATACGGACAACAACTTTTATGTAGCGTAATCTTGAAACAGATGAAGGAAGTTCATGTTGGAGGAAGTTAGTGTAATTTTGGCCAAGATGGAGGAAGTTCATGTTGCTCCAGATTGCGGAAAAGCCGTGTTAGGGTTAAAAATCGTGCGTTTGGATCTTATCCCTGAACTCAAAGATTTTGGCTGACCTGAACCCCTTCTTAGGGTAATTCAGTAGCCTTTACCTCTTAGTGCCCGTGCGGAGCTTCGTCCCAAATCAATTGAGAGTCGTCTCCCCCACCTCATTATAAGCCTGAGCCTCTTAGGGATGAGATTCGAATGTGCGATTTCTACCCCTAACAAGCCGTACATACATGACACCACGAAAAGGGGAGGAGAGGTGGAGGCTTGTTTATGTGCTTCCTCACGTTACCGGTAATTTACCACGGAGAAAAACAAACCGTTAATGGTCATCCGTGCCTTCTTTAGTTTCCTTCTTTACTAACCTCCTTTGACTCTCTCCTATCCCAAGCAACCTTTGTTTTGGCTTCCTTAGGGATGTTTACTTATCATATCCTCTTTTGCAGCTCATGTCACTCTATATTAATTATAACTTGACAATAGAGATTTAATTTTAGGAGTTAAATTTAATGTAATTATTAGATTAATCTAGTGATAATGTTAGACGAAGCCTATTTTTGATCTAACAGACTCGATTAGGTATCCAGATTTAAGACCAAATATCATTTTCTTTATAAGTTTGTACCAGACTACAATACAGAAAAGATTACATCATTACACATTAAGGGGTAAAATTACAACTTAACCTACTAAGCTTACATCAAAATAAATGGTTTTCAACTGGTCCTAACATTCTCAAATTTTAAGATCGATTCAAAATATTTTGAAGATTCATCCTATGTTTTTTTTTGGTAGCTTCGCCCACTAATAATAACTTAGCCCAAAAAATAATAATAAAATTCGGTACCATGCATCCTTCAGTATCGAAGTCTTACCTTGCAAAATTATGTTTCATTTGAATCTTTTGCTTCATCTTTCTTTCCTTTTTCTTCTGTTTCACAGTGACATACACCATAATATGGACGACGCTAGAAATTCAAAATTGACAAATGATAGTGAGACTTAATTAAAGGATTTAATTCATTGGTACCATAAGACTAGTGGGTTCCAATATGGAGAGGGAGAAGTGGGGGGGGGGGGGGGTATTGCCCTCTTGTCCTAAGGTAGCTTCGCCTTTGCTTCTTTATTACAAAATGGCTTTCATACTGCCTGTTTCGGTAAAGAGGAAGAAAAGATCAATTGGCGCTACACAAAAATGAGGATTGGCCTTACAGTTATAAAGCAGCAAATATCCCCTGCAAATTTCGGCGCAGTTTGCTTGCTTTTTAAATTTTTTCCTTTTAGCTTGCTGCTTAATTCATGTGAGATGAAACATCCATGCATTCAAATGCTCTATAAATAGCCCCTCCCACTCCCACCCCTTTCAACTCCTCAACATCCTAACTCCCCATTCATTATTCAAACTCTCTCTTTATCCCTCAAATCAGTGGGACAATGTTGAACCCTGTTAGTCGTCTGCTTGTTTTTCCACTTCTCTTCATAATCTTCAATCAATCATTTGCAACTGCAGCGACATACAATGTTCTCAACTTAGGGGCCAAACCTGACGGCAGGACCGACTCAGCCAAGTCTTTCCTCAATGCTTGGGCTGCAGCTTGTGGCTCAGTCAAACCGGCCACGATCTGTGTGCCACGGGGAAGGTACTTGCTTCATAAAGCACACTTTGCAGGCCATTGCAAGAACACTGCAATAACCATCATTATTGACGGCACCCTCCTAGCTCCCTCAGATTACCATGTTATCGGAAATGCTCATAACTGGATCCTATTCGAGGGAGTCAATGCAGTTTCTATACGTCCGTCCTTGCGTGGTGGGATGCTTGATGGGCAAGGGACTGGTTTGTGGTTATGCAAGGCCACCGGCAAGAGTTGCCCTAGAGGTGCCAGTGCCACGGTATGTGAAATTACCAAACTAGCCGTTACAGTTTTGGTGCCAAGTGCAATACTGCAATCCAAACATGGGGCGCACCAATTTTAGGACATAAATTTCCTAACAATAATACTATTTAGACCTAATTTGTTAACATAATTCATTGATCTAATTCATTACAATCATGAATTAATTGCGGAACTCAACAAATAATGGGCTCTACTATTAATCTAATAGTTATGAATGATTAGGTTAATAAATTATGTCTCTAAATTAGATTCAAGTAACATTATTCTTTTCCTAAATACTTAGCCATGGTTTCTTTGTGGCCACTGTTGTTTTGGTGCCTTCATGTTATATGGAAATATTCAAATTATTTTTCTTGGAAAAACAATAGTTGTAGTTAATTTGGGAACTTAATGCTCTTTCTCGTTGGCTAAAGAGTGATTTTCAATATTGAATAGAATCAACTATAAACTAAACAGTAACTACACATCAACTACTCAAATTAAATTTAAAATTTTTATTTTTTTTCTTCGAAAAACATAGAATGTGATGGTATAAATTAACGTGTTGCAGATTTATGGTGATGAGCAGATTGGATGATCGGTATCTGGCTCTTAGGATCTGAGCTACAAGGCTCGAAAGAGCGAGGGCTGGAATCAATGGTCAGGAGTTGGGGAATTAACACAATGGAATTATAGTGGTTTACTAGTTCGGAAGCTCGGTTAATCCACTCTTCAATGGAGATTCTTGCTACTTCTTTCTTTATTGATCTTTTAAAAGTTTACTAGGGTGATTGTAGGTTATTCGGGGTTCCCCCATACTTGGGGGAATTACATAAATATTTATAGGGCTGCACTGAGATCCTTGTCATTTATCCGAGGAACTTTCCTTGATCTTAGAAGAGGATCTTGGATGGTTAAGGATTTTGCGCCTTGAACATAGCTCTGTCACATGATTAATGTATGCACAAGTTATGTATTTTGTAGAGCTCCCATGCAAATGAGACTCTGCTTGAATTTTATTTTGTTATGATCCCAATGAATGGGGTGTAATGACATGGTATTGGGTAATACGGTATCCACAGATATTCCGTAGGTTGATGGGTGATCAATGAGTTGAGAAAAGACCCCCCCAATTTTGGGGCGTCACAGCTTGGTATTAGAGCTTAGGTTCCCGATTATCTTGGGACTTGAGGGTAGATTGGGTTAAGTCATTGCATTCATTATGCATTACATGTTATGTGCATTAAATGTCACATGTTGTGTGATATGAGATTATATGCATGATTAAATGTGTATGGGAATGAGACGCTAGGGTTAGAAAACATAACATTGGGTTGAAAAAAAGAAAGAATGGGAAATTTTATAGATTAGGCATCCACTAGTAGGTGGCATACCTCCTACTAGTGAGGCAAGAAGAAAATTTCTAATGTTTTAACTTTTGATCCCTAACTTTGGGATACTAAGTTAGTGGTCTATTACTATCTTACATGTGTGTAGATGGCGAATAGAGGAATAGGAGATCGCAATGGTCGAGGGGGTGGATAGAATAACCAACCACCATCACCAAAAGTTTAAGGAGCGGATCCGATGGTGGCCGATCATTTCTTCCAACAAGTGGATAAAATCATGGAGGCTATAGAGATCACATCCGACGCCACTAAGATAGGACTAGCAATGTTCAAACTTGAGGGAAAGGTCCATCTATGGTGGAATTGGGAAAAGACCTCAAAGAATATTGAGGCAACGACTTGGGAAGTGTTCCATGAGCTTTTTATGGGCAAGTATTTTTTGTCGGCTCTCTGGTAAGTGAAAGCCTGGAAATTTCTAGACCTAAAGCAAGGGACAATGATAGTGATGTAATATATGGCGAAGTTCACCAAGCTAGCCCATTTTGCCGACGATTATATGATCACTGACTTGGCCAAAGTAAGAAGATTTAAGGACAAATTGAAGTTGTCCATCCAAGGAAACATTGTAGGCCACCGCCTATAAGACCTAGACTCAATGGTTGAGATAACCATGGCTATTGAGAGGGAAGTGGACGACGCTAAGAGCATCCTAGTGGCCGGTGCCAAGGACAAGAAAAATAAGGTTCAATCCTCCAACACAAATTTTAGAAGAAACAGAATACCTCTATGCCAGAAGAGTCTCAAGTGCAAGGCTGGGGCTATCAAGGCCAATGCCAAAATCAGTTTTCCTAAGGAGGCAAGAATTTCAAAGAGACGTACCAAGGAGGCCAAAAGACATGTTATTGGTGTCATCAATAGGTCCACTTGAAACATGATTGTCCTCAGAGCCAGGAATCCCAGAGTTATGGGATATCTCAATTTTAGTCATTAGTAGGACCTCCACATATATTTTTTATTCCTCCCTATACCACCATGGGCCAGGGAAGTCAGTTCTAGCTTTAGGGTGCTACACAAGCCCCTACTACTTCACGTGTGAAGACTCCACAATCAGGTCAGATGGTTCAAGGTGTGGGTCGAGGCCAAGGTTGAGGACAAGGCTTACAGGAAGGGACTTCAGGGACTCAAGGTGATTCTTCACAATCACACCTCAGACTAAAACAGACATATCAGTCAATGATTCAGGGTACATTCCTATTCTCTCACTTATGGGCACGACTATTATTTGATTCAAGTGCATCTCATTCATTCATTGATGTATCTTGTATAAAATATTTGGGCTTAGAGGTTGAGAACTTAGAGGAGCCATTGCATGTGAATTTTTCCTAGGAGTTAGGGTTTGCATTGATAAGATATGTCAGGGTTGTGAGTTAGAAATCTCAAGGATTCAACTCAAGGTAGACCTTAAGGTCATGGACATGTCGGATTTTAACGTCATCCCTGGGATGAATTGGTTAATGGCACACCGAGTTATCATTGATTGTGATTGGAAGAGGGTTACTACTTATACACTAGAGGGTGTCTGTTTCAAGGTTCAAGGGAAAAACACAATATTTTTACCCCAAATTGTGTATAAATCTCGTTGGCATGGACAGTTGATGGGTTGGTTTGCGAGCCTTATATTTGAAAATGAGATGAGACGGGAGTTGGGAATACCTCTGGTAGTTTGCGAGTATAAGAATATTTTCCCAGATGAGTTACCTAGATTGCCTCCACATCAGGATGTAGACTTCACTATTGAGTTACAACTTGGTGTATCCCCTATCTCTATGACACCACATAGAATGACACTTGTGGAATTACAAGAGCTAAAGGTCCATTTACAAGAGCTATTAGATAAAGGCTTTATTAGGCCGAGTACCTCACTTTGGGGTGCTCCGGTACTATTTGCCAAGAATATGGACAAGACCCTTAGACTATGTAATGACTATCGACAGTTGAATCAGGTCACTATCAAGAACAAATACCCATTGTCGAGGATTGATGATCATTTTGATCAACTAAGAGGGGCATGGCTCTACTCCAAAATAGATATGTGCACGAGATACCATCAGTTGAGGATTAGGGAGACCGATATCCCTAAGATTGCATGTAGGACGTGACACGAGTATTTTGAGTTTACAATTATGCCCTTCCATTTGACGAATGCTCCAGTAGCATCATAGACCTTATGCCTAGGGTGTTCCAACCCTATCGTGACCAATTTGTCATAGTCTTTGTTGATGACTTTCTGATCTACTCCAAGTCTGAGGAGGAGGACGAAGGTCACTTGAGAATTGTTCTCTAGCCCTTGAGTGACCATCAGTTGTACGCCAAGTTCAACAAGTGTGAATTTTGGCTGACAGAGGTAAAATGTTTGGGACACGTAACGTCTACTTCGAGTATGTCAGTGGACTCGGAGAAGGTTGAGGCAGTTATGAGTTGGGAGAGGCCTAAGTCAGTCTTTAAAATACGTAATTTCTTGGGATTGACAGAATATTATCGAAGTTTCATTGAGGACTTCTCACTGCTAGTTACACCTATGACTAGGTTGACCAGGAAAGAGGTTAAATTCTACTGGGATGACTCGTTTGAGAGGGCATTATAGGAGTTGAAGATGCGATTGACTTTAGCTCCTATTTTGATTGTCCCAGAGAGGAGACAGAGGTACACAATCTATTATGATTCCTTAAAAGATGGAGTTGGATGTGTTCTGATTCAATCTGGGAGGGTGGTAGTTTATGGTTCACGGCAGTTGAAGAGCCACGAGAAGAACTACCACACACACAACATAGAATTGGTGGTTGTTGTCTTTACCTTGAAGGCATGTACCACTACTTATATGGAGAATAGATTGAGGTATTTTCAGATCACAAAAGTTTGAAATACATTTTCACGCAATGGGACCTCAATATGAGGTAGCCCGGGTGGATGGAGTGTTTGGAGGATTACAACTTCTTTTTCTATTACCACATTGGTAAGATAACTATGGTGACTGATGCACTCAATTGGAAGTCACGGGGAGTCTTGGCTAGTATAGCTTCTTGAGAATGGCAAATGCTCGAGATTGTGGGACAGTTTATGCTACACTATAGGGATCAGGCTCATGAAATTTTGGGAATTTTGGTAGCTACGCCTTCCTTATTGAGAAATGTGACCGAGTCTTAGGGGATGACACAGAGATATTGTCCATTAATGACCAGGTACAGATGATGAGGGTTGGATCATTCATGCTGATGGTAATCTTCAATTTAGGGGAAAAGTCATGGTTCTTCAGTCTACGGATCTGAGAGGGGAGATCCTCAGAGAATTTCATTATTCCCCTTTTGTTCTGCATCCTATTGGCACAAAGATGTACCATAATCTTCGTCGTCAGTATTACTGGAGTGGGATGAAGAGACACATCCTAGACTTTGTTAGTAAGTGTCTCACGTGTCAACAGGTCAAGCCTGAGCACCAGAGACTAGTAGGGTTGTTACAACCTTTGGAGGTGGCTAACTGGAAGTGGAAACATGTCACTATGGATTTTGTGATCCACTTACTACGGACTTCGCGTTGGCATGAAAAGGTATGGGGTAGTGGACTAGCTTATGAAGTTGGCACATTTTTTGGCTGTTTGGATGACTTTCAC